CGCTAACAACATATCCAACTTCGCGCCAATCTGCCGCCTATTAGCACTTCAATCGATCCAATATATTCTCTTCTTAGTCGCAGTAATTCCCATCTAACCTACACAATATCCAATATCGATCACCTGATCGATTTCCTCCAATACCAACCCTCTCGAACTTCTTATCCAGAGTGTACTGAACCCTCAACAAGTCCTTCCCCTTAGCCTGTCCAGCTATCCTCAAACAGCCTTCCACAAATTCTGTGTAAGTCACCTAACAACCCAGTTACACATCCAAGTCGGGCGGGCGAGATTCAACCCGGAAATTCACCCATTCATACGAAACAACCCAACTCTCTAAAACGGCGTATATAAGAATAGTTCTATAGGCTAGAACCGAATCACGGAGTGAAATGTGTCTATTTGATCGAAGAAATTGAAGAGAATTTTTCAGTTTTTATAAATATTTCTTGATAAAATTTTTGCATCCCGAACAGAATTTTTGATACCACCAATATTTGACTCCGTTCGAATAGTAAATAGCATTGGATCGCGATAAGTAGTATTGAAATAAGTTCTACGATAAAGCGAATAAATACTCACGAGCGCACAGTGAATATTCCAATACCACACCACCCACAATTCACATGCCAACCTCCCCCCCTCCACTACCTTCCTCGATCGATTGATATCAATCAGACTAAACAAGTCCGCGGCATCACGAAGGGACACATCCGCAAACTTCAACTTCTGTGCTACTTCTGGTATCCGAAGAACCTGAACAACATCTAGTAAATACCACAACAAATCGATCAATAAGGCGAGCGCGACACGCCAGAAAGTAATGCATCTACTCTAACAAACTCTTCCTCAGATATCCAGCCTCGACCCTCCTTATCAGCCTCCTTAAACACCTCATGCAGATGACTGAACGCCTGAGAGGAAAAGAACCAATACCAATCGATATCACCAGACCCTTTGGAAAAAATCATGATCTGAAATACGCAGATACATCCCTACACTCTGTAGTAATAAAGCACGATACGAGACATACAAAGTATTTTCAAAAAACTACAGAGTTTCTGGAGATCCGTACAAACATCAGACTTCGATCGGCTGACATCAGCAATAGGAGTTTCCGATCATGCTGAATTTTATGAAACAGACCCCATAGCGATATTCGTTCTCCTTATTTGCGAC